TCTCTCTCTCTCTCTGTCTCTCTCTCTCTCTCTGTCTGAGGGTACATGTTTATGGTAGAGAATACATGTTCAGAAAAACATGATTAAACAGAACACTATGGTAACTGATTAAAATTGTGCTTATAATCCGGAATATGTGTACACAAAATTGTCTATTTATTAAAATTACCCTGGTACCTTCGAATTTTTTCTGTGTTCTGTCTTTCTGTCTTAATATTTTGACGTTTTTATATATTTTCAGATTTCATTTATTTAAAATTTTAGTTGAAGTTTTACTAAGTTTATTACTAAGTTTTTTTTTTATAGTAATTTTTGTACTTCAACATATTTATTTCTGTCTTATATATAACTCTGTCTTTTCAGTTTGTGAAGTGTGGATATGCCGGCTCTAATTTCCCAGAGCACATTTTTCCAGCTCTGGTGGGGAGACCGATCATCCGCTCCACTGCCAAAGTGGGAAACATCGAGATCAAGGTAAAGTTTCCCCACTAAACTGCACCCTAAATCTTTCCCTACACTGACACCATGACTTGGGCTCTGTCCCAATCACCCAGTGAGCTGCCTTGCTGTATACACCCTACAGCAGTCTCCTAAAGCTGCATCTGTATTGAAATGAAACCCCCATGAGTAACTAAACAGTTCATTTTTGATCAGATGAAACTTTTTATTTACACTTTTTGGTATTAAATTAATTAAAAGTATGCTTATAATGTTGAAATGCTGTCTATGTAGGCCACTCACTGGATTTTGTATCAGAGGTTGTAAATTGTCATTCCAAGGGTTTCAAAGAAATGCTGTGAATTTGGTAACGGGACATACACCGCAACTTGAGTAACTTCCTGCTTGACTCGAACTTCTGCAGAGTCGTTTTCACTGGGGGTGGAGCCGCTTTGAGAGGGTTCTTACAGGTTCCTCTGGCTGAAATATTAATATTTGATTCAAAAGGAAATACAGAAATATTGAGGTATACTGTAAAAATGGTCAGAAGTCTGAAAAAATATTAAGAGGTTGTTTTTTAGCCATATCACCTGAGTGTAGTGTTAATCCTGGACACTTTTTTTTTTTTTTAATACTTTAATTAGAAATGGATATATTTCTAAACAAAGGTCTTTCAGCTAATGAATGATGTAGGGCAGGGGTGCCCAACCCTGCTCCTGGCGATCGACTGTCCTGCAAAGTTCAGCTCCAACCCTAATCAAACACACCTGAAGCAACTAATTAGGGTCTTCAGGATCACTTAAACATTAAAGGCAGGTGTCTTTGATTAGAGTTGGAGCTAAACTTTGCAGGACAGTTGATCGCCAGGAGCAGGGTTGGGCACCCCTGATGTAGGGGAACGTGTTTTATGATAATCAGTGTTGGGGAAAGTTACTTTTAAAAGTAATGCATTACAATATTGCGTTACCCCATAAAAAAAGTAACTAATTATGTTACTTAATTACTTTTTATGGAAAGTAATTACGTTAAAAGTTAAAGTAACGCTAAAGTAACATTACGTTACTTTAGCGTTATTTTAAATCTGGACAGGGCTTGCTTGTTGGTTTTTAAAATAAAAAAGTTCTATTTTTGGCAAATATAAAAAGCCTTTTCACACCAAAAGTGAAATGAATAAGCCTCAGGCTGAAGGGAAAGTAAATTTATGTCAGTACAGTAGAATGCAGAAGAAGACATTTCAGCACACTTCAGCAATAAAAAAAGACACACAAATGTTCTTCTAGAGTCATTTTTGCTTATTAGTACGGTTGAACTGGATCATTGAAGGTCAGAAGCAAAGACATTGGTTAATAAAATGGGATTAAATACATAAAGCATATTTGTGTTGTTTAACATTTAATTATTGCAGGTTTGCGTCATATTCTGAGTTGCATTATTTTTATTCATTTTGAGGAATACTGAATCTGTTTTTTTTGTGAGTGAGATGAATTAATGCATATTCATATTTATTTTAGAACTACAGTAACATCTTCTGATTTCTCTCAACATGGGGACAGGAGAGCTGTCAGTCAATACATTGAAAAAAAAAAGTAACTTGCGTTACTTATTTGAAAAAGTAACTCAGATATTCTCTTGTAAATTAAAAAGTAATGCGTTACTTTACTAGTTACTTGAAAAAAGTAATCTGATTACGTAACTCGCGTTACTTGTAATGAGTTACCCCCAACACTGATGATAATGCCCCAAAATTGACATTTATGTACTTAATAACTCAATTTGTGTAAACTAAAAGCATTCCATTTAAATTTGATCCATCCTAAAAGAGTACAAAATCTTCCAAAAAACAAAAAAAGTCTTGTTCCTAAATCCCTTTTATTATCTATCCTCTTTTTTAATATTAAATATATGTTCTTATGCAAATAAGACCTCATATCATGTAGTACAGTTGACATTTTTTGTGTTATGTTGACATTGTGTCAGAGAAATAAGTGTGCAGTCATCTTTATTATTTTGTCTTTGAGCTTCCATTTGTGCAGTAGCTCTACAGCATGGCTGTTGAACAGCAGTTAGCTGGTGACGTGGATTTACTAATTGTAGAGTTGATGAAAGTTATCAGGTGCATTGTAATGTTTGAAGCGGATGTCGTAACATACGTCAGTAGACCAGGAAGATTTTAAAAGGAGCGCTTCATTCATAAATGCATACGAACTTACTTACTTACCTTCACGCTGTGGAAATACAAACCAGAAGACCGCGAGCGCTGTGCTGTGCTGAAACGGTGCGGAGCTACGTAAAGTCTATATAAAATTAATTAATTGAGCAAAGAATAAAAATGAACCAAAACCTTCATCTGACAGCATTGATGCTTACTGCCAAAGAACCAACGGTTGTTACAACAGATGAAGTACTAACAAACATTGTTTCAAACAACAATTTATGCATTTCAATACAATTCTTTTTAAAATATAAGCAATGAATGCCCCAAGTATACTGATTCCCCTACTGTCTTTTGGACATGTTTTGTCCCTTTTTTCAAGAATCAGTGTGATAAGATCGCTGATCCTGCATCAGTCTTTACTCTTCAGGAGTTTCGCTCTCATCGCTCATCTCCTGTTCTCTCCATATTTGTCTTTCTCTCCTCTGTTACTGTATTGAGATGCTGTAGGAGTATAGGAAGATGGTAAGTGTGTGTGTGTGTGAGAGTCTAACCTGTAGCGATACCCTCTCAGGAGATGCAGAGCTGGTTGCAGTTTGACTTTATTCTTGCATTAATGTTCAGACTAATCATAAATCTTGTTCCCTCTCTAACCCTGAAGAAATTATCTTGCTTGTATGTGTCTAGTGTTTGACATTACCCAGAATGCACTGGTCTGTACCGAATGGCATGAGTGTGCTGTGTCCAAATAGGATATACAGGGTTCATGGTCATAAGTAGCCATAGATGCTGGTATGGCAATAAAAAGTAAATGAATAAATTCAGGAAATGTCAGGTTAAAAATATGTTTTTAACACCTGGGAAAAAATTAAATTTCTATGATAATATTTAATTATGGTTTAAAAAATATGGGAGGCAGTGTTGTTTTAGTATTATTTAAATACATTTATAGTATTATTAATATTTTGAATGAGCTTTTATTTTTATACTTTCAGTTTTCATTTTAATTTTAGATGACGTTTTAGTCATTTTGTTGTGTTTTTTATCATTTCTATAAATTTTTATTAGTTTTGTAATATCTTTTTTTATTTCTGTTTTAGTAATTTTAGAACTTAAATTTAAATTTCATTTGCCAATGCAACATTTGTAATTAAAAAATTTTTTTTGAAAAAAAAAAAAAAAAAATATATATATATATATAATAGTTTTAGTAAAGTGTATTTCATTAAAATCAGGGACGTTTTATTTTGAAAACCTGATGAAATGAAGTTTGTTTTCCCAGTTGTCTCCAGCTCCGTTCGACACTTTTAATTTCTCTTTCAACCTGCACAGCTTCCGTTCAGCTCAAAATGAAAGAGAACATTGAGCCTTCTGACCTTTGACCTCTCCGCTGTGACCTGTAGGACCTAATGGTGGGTGACGAGGCGAGCGAGCTGCGCTCCATGCTGGAGGTGAACTACCCGATGGAGAACGGGATCGTGAGGAACTGGGACGATATGAAGCACCTGTGGGACTACACTTTCGGCCCCGAGAAGCTCAACATCGACTCGCGGAACTGCAAGATCCTGCTAACGGAGCCGCCCATGAACCCCACCAAGAACCGAGAGAAGATCATCGAGGTTTGAGCGCCCGTTTGTTGAATAACATCTGTGATGAACCTCAATGAGGTTTGTGATTATTTTTGACCCTCTTGTCTCCCTGTAGGTGATGTTTGAGACCTATCAGTTCTCAGGCGTTTATATCGCCATCCAGGCCGTGCTCACTCTTTACGCGCAAGGTACTCAACCTTTTTAATTTTATAATAAAAATATAAGATCAAATGTAAAATAATAAATATAATAACATGAAATAAAATGTTGTATAATAATAATAATAATAATAATACAAATATGAAATTAAAAATAATAAATATAATAACAAAATAAAATGTTATATAATAATAATAAATATAATAAAAATATAAAATAAAATTTAAAATAATAAATATAATACGAAATATAGAATAAAAATATAAAATAATAAATATAATAATACGAAATGAAATATTATATAATAAAAATATAAAATAAAATGTAAAATAATAAATATAATAACAAAATAAAATGTTATATAATAATAATAAATATAATAAAAATATAAAATAAAATGTAAAATTATAAATATAACACGAAATAAAATGTTATATAATATAATAAAAATGTAAAATAGAATGTAAAATAATAAATATAATAACATGTAATAAAATGTTGTATAATAATAATAAATATAATAAAAATATAAAATACATTTAAAATAATAAAATAACAAAATGATCACATAATAAAATGTTATATAATATTATATTTAAAAAAGCACAACTCCATGCCAGACTTGATAAGTTGATGTTTGTGAATGCCTGTTCTCTGTGCAGGTCTGCTGACGGGTGTGGTGGTGGACTCTGGTGACGGTGTCACTCATATCTGTCCAGTGTACGAAGGCTTTTCTCTTCCTCATCTCACGCGTCGTCTGGACATCGCTGGACGAGACATCACACGATACCTCATCAAGGTACTGCCCCATAGATACTCTCTCTATATCTAATTAGCTTTCATTTTAAAGGGTTAGTTCACCCACAAATGAAAATTAGCTTGTGTTTTACTAACCCTCGAAGCATCCTAGGTGTATATGACTTTCTTCTTTCAGACGAATCCAGTCGGAGTTAGATTCAAATTTGTCCTGGCTATTCCAAGCTCTATCATTGCAGTCAGTGGGTGTTGCAGTTGAACAGTCCACAAGTCATCAAATAAAGCTTGCGCGTTCATAATAAAACGTGCCGCAGATGGCTCCGGGGGATGAATAAAGGCCCCCTGTAGCGAATCCATGAGTTTTTGTAAGAAAAATATCCATATTTCAAACATAATAAACACTTTCCTCACACTTCCGCTGACTGTCATACGCGGAAGCAGTTCAGGCGGATGACGTAAGATGCGTTGCGTGATTAGTGACGAATGACAAATGCAGAGAGAGAACAAAACAAAACGCCGGTCATGAATTAGAAGCACAAACCGAAGATTTGCAAAGAAAAATTTTTCTTTTTTCAGTATAAACCAAGAGGAGACTGGTTTTCCTTTGCTAAAGTAAGGAAACGTTGCTTCCTTTGCTCCTATAAACAAACTCGCGAGACTAGCATATCTCAGAGGCGCACGCGCTGCGCATACGTCATACGCCTTCCGCCGGAACGGATCCGTGTATGATAGATAACGGAAGTGAGAGAAAAGTGTTTATTACGTTTGAAATATGTATATGTTTCACTTCCGTTATTCATCCCCCGGAGCCATCTGCGGCACGTTTTATTATGAACGCGCGAGCTTTATTTGACGACTTGTGGACTGTTCAACTGCAACACCCGCTGACTGCAATGATAGAGCTTGGAATAGCCAGGACAAATTTTAATATAACTCTGACTGGATTCGTCTGAAAGAAGAAAGTCATATACACCTAGGATACTTCGAGGGTAAGTAAAACACAAGCTAATTTTCATTTTTGGGTGAACTAACCCTTTCATTTTAAGTTTCTTTTTTTTTTTATAATTTTGTTTAGGGCTGTCATGATTCCTCGATTTAATTCGAGTACTCGATTATAAAAAAATCTTAGTCTGTGTCGATTAATTTCTATTTTATTTCAGCTTAATTTCAATTAACAAAATTTTTTTTTAAAAGAGTCATGTTAGATGTATTTTTTTACGGACAAACCTCCAGAATGAATCTTAACGCTGTCCGTTTCTCTGCAGCTGTTGTTGTTGAGGGGTTACGCCTTCAACCACTCGGCAGACTTCGAGACGGTGAGGATGATGAAGGAGAAGCTGTGTTACGTGGGCTATAACATCGAGCAGGAGCAGAAGCTTGCGCTGGAGACCACCGTGCTGGTGGAGTCCTACACGGTGAGTTCAGCCCGATGCAGGAGCTGCGAGAGGGTTATTAACCCATAAGCTCTGCTCCATAACCTAGTGAGCGTTTTAAACCCTAATGACCCTCTGGACAGCAGACTTGTTATTGCCAGCAGAGGGCAGCAGTGTGGTGTGTAAATGTAACTCTTTGAACCTGTCAGCAGTGTATAAAATGGGGAGAATTCACACTAGTTTGTCCCTGGGTTTGTAGCTTCCGGACGGCAGAGTGATTAAAGTGGGCGGCGAGCGGTTCGAGGCTCCAGAGGCTCTGTTCCAGCCTCACCTCATTAACGTGGAGGGAGTGGGTGTGGCTGAACTGCTTTTCAACACCATCCATGCCGCTGACATCGATACCAGGTCAGTTGAAATATTTCATAATCAGTATTAATATAGAAGAGATGTTTTTGTATACTGTATAATGTGTGTATATGTGTGTGTATATATATATATATATATATATATATATAGTTGATTATTATCTAATTTTTTCTCCTTTTTACAAACTAAATAATAATAGTAATAATAATGCATTTTATTTTTCATGTGCTTTTCTTCAACCCAACCTGCCACAACAATAAGACATAATAGCAATATAGTAAAAATTTGTTTGTAAAACGTTTTTAAAAAAAGTTTTAAAATACTAAAAAGTATTATATAAGTAATTGTAAGTAATATATAAGTATTGTATAATTAAATATTATGTTATTGATAATAATAAAATTTTTAATTGTAATGTTATCATTATGTATTTATATTTATATCTTTGTTACAACGTATTATTTATATGTCATATATAGTTATTATGTTACATATATAGTGCCAAAATGATCAATTTTTTTGTCTCAAAAGCATGTTTTTATGTTCACGTACATATACACACTGACATTTGTCTTTGTCTTTATGTCAGGGCTGAGTTTTACAAACACATCGTTTTGTCGGGCGGTTCTACGATGTATCCTGGTCTGCCGTCTCGTCTGGAGCGGGAGCTCAAGCAGCTCTACCTGGAGAGAGTCCTGAAGGGAGACGTCGACAAGCTCTCGGTACGAATGCTTTAACCACAACTAACATGTAATACAGACTAGGGGTGTGCGATATATTTTGTCTGCGATAATATCATAATTGTTGTTTTAACGATGTATGATTTGACATTATCGAGTATTTTGCAAAAACCATTCAAAACACCCTTACAGAGTGCACGCATACATTACGTGAAGTCAGGGCCGGATTTACGCATAGGCATTCTAGGCACGTCCAGGGGGGGCCCAAACACAATGAAGAGAATTATAATATTTTTTTGTTATATTATGAGCTATCTACAACAGTAAAAGAACCAAAACACCAGAAGACATTGAGCAAATAAATATAACAAACAATAGGGTAAAAAATGGCAAACTATTTCCATGTTTTCCACCTTTTTATGTATGGAAATCACGTACATAAATTCTTTCTCCCATTCTCTCTCACAGACGCAAACACAGTGCAGACACGCACTCGCGCTCTCACACACGGAGACGCAAACAGAAACTTGTCATCAACGCTGCCCCGCGAATTTATCAGTAAAATAGTTTCGCAGCTGAAAAGCTACAGGGCATTTCTCAGTAGCGAGGTTCTTGAAGCAGTTCAACTTAAAGATTAGTAAACGCTGCTGCTGAACACTGAGAGACGCACAGTATTCACACGCTTAATCTCTCTCTCTCTCTCTCTCTCTCTCTCTCTCGCTCTCGCTCTCTCTCTCTAATAACTGCATTAGCCTGCATATCAATGGCCCAAGCCTCTGTTATTAGCTCTAAAATTACGTTTTGGAGTTTGCAATGGAAGGTTTATCTTTAAATAAATCATCTGAACAATATCTTGAGGTGTGGTTGTGACACCAGGCCGTTAAAATTATTAGAGAAATGATGCACTCCCGAAGTGGTAATGTGGCCACGACGCTGGAGCCTATTAATGGAACGGTCTTTCTCCATTCTCAAACAAATTAAGACATTTGATTTTTATTGACTGAATGCAAGCGCTTATTGCGACAGAAAACACTGTAACGGTTTCCACTGATTACTTTATTTGACGACTTGTGGACTGTTCAACTGCAACACCCGCTGACTGCAATGATAGAGCTTGGAATAGCCAGGACAAATTTTAATATAACTCTGACTGGATTCGTCTGAAAGAAGAAAGTCATATACACCTAGGATACTTCGAGGGTAAGTAAAACACAAGCTAATTTTCATTTTTGGGTGAACTAACCCTTTCATTTTAAGTTTCTTTTTTTTTTTATAATTTTGTTTAGGGCTGTCATGATTCCTCGATTTAATTCGAGTACTCGATTATAAAAAAATCTTAGTCTGTGTCGATTAATTTCTATTTTATTTCAGCTTAATTTCAATTAACAAAATTTTTTTTTAAAAGAGTCATGTTAGATGTATTTTTTTACGGACAAACCTCCAGAATGAATCTTAACGCTGTCCGTTTCTCTGCAGCTGTTGTTGTTGAGGGGTTACGCCTTCAACCACTCGGCAGACTTCGAGACGGTGAGGATGATGAAGGAGAAGCTGTGTTACGTGGGCTATAACATCGAGCAGGAGCAGAAGCTTGCGCTGGAGACCACCGTGCTGGTGGAGTCCTACACGGTGAGTTCAGCCCGATGCAGGAGCTGCGAGAGGGTTATTAACCCATAAGCTCTGCTCCATAACCTAGTGAGCGTTTTAAACCCTAATGACCCTCTGGACAGCAGACTTGTTATTGCCAGCAGAGGGCAGCAGTGTGGTGTGTAAATGTAACTCTTTGAACCTGTCAGCAGTGTATAAAATGGGGAGAATTCACACTAGTTTGTCCCTGGGTTTGTAGCTTCCGGACGGCAGAGTGATTAAAGTGGGCGGCGAGCGGTTCGAGGCTCCAGAGGCTCTGTTCCAGCCTCACCTCATTAACGTGGAGGGAGTGGGTGTGGCTGAACTGCTTTTCAACACCATCCATGCCGCTGACATCGATACCAGGTCAGTTGAAATATTTCATAATCAGTATTAATATAGAAGAGATGTTTTTGTATACTGTATAATGTGTGTATATGTGTGTGTATATATATATATATATATATATATATATAGTTGATTATTATCTAATTTTTTCTCCTTTTTACAAACTAAATAATAATAGTAATAATAATGCATTTTATTTTTCATGTGCTTTTCTTCAACCCAACCTGCCACAACAATAAGACATAATAGCAATATAGTAAAAATTTGTTTGTAAAACGTTTTTAAAAAAAGTTTTAAAATACTAAAAAGTATTATATAAGTAATTGTAAGTAATATATAAGTATTGTATAATTAAATATTATGTTATTGATAATAATAAAATTTTTAATTGTAATGTTATCATTATGTATTTATATTTATATCTTTGTTACAACGTATTATTTATATGTCATATATAGTTATTATGTTACATATATAGTGCCAAAATGATCAATTTTTTTGTCTCAAAAGCATGTTTTTATGTTCACGTACATATACACACTGACATTTGTCTTTGTCTTTATGTCAGGGCTGAGTTTTACAAACACATCGTTTTGTCGGGCGGTTCTACGATGTATCCTGGTCTGCCGTCTCGTCTGGAGCGGGAGCTCAAGCAGCTCTACCTGGAGAGAGTCCTGAAGGGAGACGTCGACAAGCTCTCGGTACGAATGCTTTAACCACAACTAACATGTAATACAGACTAGGGGTGTGCGATATATTTTGTCTGCGATAATATCATAATTGTTGTTTTAACGATGTATGATTTGACATTATCGAGTATTTTGCAAAAACCATTCAAAACACCCTTACAGAGTGCACGCATACATTACGTGAAGTCAGGGCCGGATTTACGCATAGGCATTCTAGGCACGTCCAGGGGGGGCCCAAACACAATGAAGAGAATTATAATATTTTTTTGTTATATTATGAGCTATCTACAACAGTAAAAGAACCAAAACACCAGAAGACATTGAGCAAATAAATATAACAAACAATAGGGTAAAAAATGGCAAACTATTTCCATGTTTTCCACCTTTTTATGTATGGAAATCACGTACATAAATTCTTTCTCCCATTCTCTCTCACAGACGCAAACACAGTGCAGACACGCACTCGCGCTCTCACACACGGAGACGCAAACAGAAACTTGTCATCAACGCTGCCCCGCGAATTTATCAGTAAAATAGTTTCGCAGCTGAAAAGCTACAGGGCATTTCTCAGTAGCGAGGTTCTTGAAGCAGTTCAACTTAAAGATTAGTAAACGCTGCTGCTGAACACTGAGAGACGCACAGTATTCACACGCTTAATCTCTCTCTCTCTCTCTCTCTCTCTCTCTCTCGCTCTCGCTCTCTCTCTCTAATAACTGCATTAGCCTGCATATCAATGGCCCAAGCCTCTGTTATTAGCTCTAAAATTACGTTTTGGAGTTTGCAATGGAAGGTTTATCTTTAAATAAATCATCTGAACAATATCTTGAGGTGTGGTTGTGACACCAGGCCGTTAAAATTATTAGAGAAATGATGCACTCCCGAAGTGGTAATGTGGCCACGACGCTGGAGCCTATTAATGGAACGGTCTTTCTCCATTCTCAAACAAATTAAGACATTTGATTTTTATTGACTGAATGCAAGCGCTTATTGCGACAGAAAACACTGTAACGGTTTCCACTGATTACTAAATATTTTTGTTTGCTGGGGTGGTAATATTATATAGGCTAGGCTAGGGGTGTCCAAACTCGGTCCTGGAGGGCCGGTGTCCTGCAGAGTTTAGCTCCAACTTGTCTCAACACACCTGCCTTCAAGTTTCTAGTATGCCTAGTAAGAGCTTGATTAGCTGGTTCAGGTGTGTTTAATTGGGGTTGGAGCTAAACTCTTCAGGACACCGGCCCTCCAGGACCAAAATGTTTTTTTTGCCTGTCACGATAAGAGGTAAGTCTGGCCCTGCGTGAAGTGTAGACTAGTGCATGTGCGCATTTAGAGTGCGTTCTTTCACTGCATGATTCAGTCTGTTAAAATGCATTTAGAATGATCACAAATTCAAGACCGAAAATGTATATATTTATACCATTTCATATAGTCAATAATCAATTTCACACGAAGAGTGCCGTTTTTCTCCAAATATTACCATGATTACAAATGTGATATTGATATATTTTTTTTATAACAGTTCAATAAACAAGAAGTTAATTAAGATACTTACGTTTTAGACACCATATTGCCTGATTTTGCTCTATTTCGACAACAAAAATAATTCCAAACAAAGCTACAGCGCTGTTTTGCGTCTCTGTGCAACATGACAGTGTTTCGTTCCTGAGTGAATCAACTGTTTAAATGATTCGGTTTAATCGCAATGACTCCCGTATTAACAGTGACTTGCTGCCACCTACTGGCGGTTTTAATTTCACATTCAGAGTATCTTTTATTATTTAAATAATTTCAAATATCAGTATTCAACGTTCTATGCTTTTTAATATATCAAAACATTATTTATGCATTTGTAATTGCAGATTAAATGCATTCATGTCTTGCATTAAACAGTGGGCAAATACATCTAAATGCCATTTCAGATGCAGCTTCTGTGTTGATTTAATTTGCTTGGTAACAGCCCAAATGTCTTATTACTCTAATTCACTGATTAAATGTACGAATTTCACTCAAAAGATAATGGACACTTTTAGAAAAAATGGCTTTATAAAGGTAAAAATGCCCATAAAATGTAAAAATAAGTTTAAACTTATTGGAAAAGATTAATTTCTATCACTGCTGTGAACTGACCACCACACAGAATATGAAGAATATTAAAAACTTTGAGTCAGCTGTCCACGGCAGTCCTTAAGGTACCAGCACAATAACACACACAGCAAAATATCGTCTAATTATCGTTATCGATAAAATCTCAGAAAATATCGAGATAATATTTTTTGTCAATATCGCACACCCCTAATACAGACCCCAAGAAAGATATGATCAGTTGGACCGTCTCTAGGATGTAGGCGTCCTAAAACCTTGTCCACAAGGTTCTGATCACTAGGTGGTGATAACTGACGAGTTAACAATGTAGCAGTTTATTTAGCAGTATTTGAGATTATTTATAGACAGACGTTAGCTTCCTTTATTAAGGGAAATTCCTTGCTGAAATTGTAACATTTTTACTTTTTAAGGACATTTTTTCCCCCCCTAACCATGTGAAAGGTCACTGTGATGTTTGCAGATGCACTAAAACGATAACTAGATAAGCCTACAATAGTCAACTTTTAAAATATTAAAATATTCAGCTAGTTGCAGGGGCAAAATTTCAAATTTTCTTTAACTAACTTGTACTAAAATAACTTGCGCTGAAATAAAAATTAATAAAACTGTATAATCATATTTTAAGAAAACCGTAACTAATTAAAAACAACAACAACAACAAAAAAACAAAATTATTCTGAAAATGGAAAATATAAAAATACAAAATTAAATTAGGATATTCATAAAAACTGAAATAGTATCTTAATATTAAAATAACCACTGGCTAGTTTTGAGTTTTATTACTAATAATTTCTTGCATTATATAGAATTGCTGTTTTTCTGAGTCTGTCTTCGCTTCTGTTTTTGTAGAAGTTTAAGATCCGCATCGAGGATCCTCCACGGCGTAAACACATGGTGTTTTTGGGCGGAGCGGTGCTAGCCGACATCATGAAGGACAAAGACAACTTCTGGATGACCAGAGAGGAGTACCAGGAGAAGGGCACACGCGTTCTGGAGAAGCTAGGGGTCACCGTTAGATAAATCACACACACATATACACACACACACACACACACACACGCACACACAACATGTATATCCCACTCCCAGTCACAGGGTGGCATTTTGGCAGCGTAAACAGAGATTTTCGGCAGATTGAGGACGAGAACAACGATATTCAAATACTTGAAATTCCTTTGCAATCCAAAAAAAAGTGCTCGATGTTTGTTCGACATTCCAAATGTAAAGAATGAGAGAAAAATGTAATGAAATCGAGTGATTTGCTCACGAAACGACTCGTTTATGCTGCCAAAATGAATCCTCAAGCAATCCTTCGTGTATCACCATATCATGACCTGTTTTGAGTCCTGTCTGTCTCATGAGTTCACATTGACCCTAACAGAGAGAAATATCGAGTAAGAAACAGGAGGATGTTTAAACAATAAAAAAAGATGTATTTTTCAGGAAAAAAAAGGTTCTTTGGTAATAAAATAGTTTTTGTAGTAAGGATAAAAATCGCTGCAGCCAATTTGCTAATAAAAAAATGAAAAATATAATTGTGGCCAATAGTATCAAACACATAGACGTACTTCTAAAGGCAGATTGCTTTTGCCGAAACGTCTATTTTCTTTCTTTAACTTCCTGTGATGTCTTTTCCTGTCTGTAATCTCAGCATCTGTGCATTATTGGATGCCCTGAAAATATATAGAGAAAAATGCAGTAGCAACCGGGGCCAACTTCCCTGAATAGCATTTAACAGAACATTTGAAGAGCGTGTTTTTGTCAAATAATGTCATTGAGAGGAGGCTTTGAACGCACTCTTGATGAGCAGTGTCATTTTAGTCGTGAGAATTGGCATTTGGAAGTCTTTACATATAGACTCTCTGTGCATGTCATTCCGCCTGCAGTTCCAGGATCAGTTTAAAGGACCTTCATAAACAATAATATCAATATCATACTGCATTTGAAAGGGAAGTGGTAATGTTTTGCGTACAGTTGTATCTAGAACCTCATTTCCGCAAATAGCTGGGTGAATCTCATGAAACATGTCTGAGTCACATTTCATTTCAAAATCAAAAGAAAGAAATAAGAAGTTATAGTTTCCTTTCATGACATTCAGCACTATTTCCCCCAAATTCTCATTACCATTATGCAGAAAAATCCCTTGTTTTTATTTCCATAATGCAAAAAGGAAACCTTTTTTTAATTATTGAAATGCATGCATGCATGCAAAAAAATCGATACATATTGTTGTCATTACCTTAATGCTATTTTTCAATTGTGTAGTAATGAATACTACATGGTGAGTTTTTTTCTACTATGTTTAATGCTGATTTAAATGTAAAAAACTAAATAATTCAATTACAGTATTTGTACTGCAATACAGTTAAAATGACACTAGTGATAATCTAATAACCCTTTTGTAGAATAATGGGAATTACACAATGTCCTGGTGTGTTACTGTAATGAGAATTTGGGAGATGAATGTGTGTAATTGTCAAGGAAGTAATGATACTAAAAGAGGATAATCAAATATTATTTCTGATTGCTTTTGTGTTTGATTTGGGGATTTTTGTGAGACTCACACACGGAGAATTGGCTATAAAACCGCACGAGCAGCTGCAGCAGTGCATTTAGTCGTGGCTCATGCATTTTACACACGTGCATCGTCCATCCATGCGGCTTCATTCCATTGCAATAACCCTGCATCCTTTTCATCAGCTCATTTATTTAGTATTCGAACGAGTCTAAATCGTGTTTCGCTGCCCAGACGAGCCTCACGATTGTTCACTTTGCTATTTTTTATGCTTTTGCATTCATGTTTTTTCTTTGCTGTTGGTTGTCAGTCATTTTCATGTCCGAGTCGAGTTGCATCTAACAGTCTGGGAACGAAGGGCCTCGCTGACGCCCGATGGGTGTTTCTGGGTCAGGCGCTTCATTCCCAGACCGAAGGCACCTGTGATGTAACGGTTTACTGCCTATTTGTAATATGAATGACATGATGATGGTATTGTTACTGATGATGATAATTTTAGTGTTTGTAGTCGTGACAGCCGTTTGGAAGCTGGATCAGTGATGTTTCTGTGTTTATACACACTCGCACATGGAACAAACTAAACGACGACTCCATTGATTTCACTCACACGCTTTCTTCCTGTGCCAAGTTTGGGTATTGTAGTCATTTTGTTTGTTTGTTTGTTTTCTGCTTTTGGTTTTTGTTTCATTTGTAGCATACTGCCAGACCATTGATTTAAATAAAGAAAATTGATTTATAACTCAATGGTAAAAGTGAGTCTTTTAAGCAGACTGAAGCCAGTGCGCGTGTGTGTGTGTGTGCATGTTAGAGAGAGAACATGTGCATGTTAGTTTTTTTCATATGTGACCTGTAACTATGGAAGCGCACAAGGAATTGCCACCCATCTATGTTACCATGGAGATGTGCTGTACACATGCAGTGTATTTTCTTTCAGTTCATCTCTTAGAGCTGTAATTTACAGTACCAGCCTCAGACACACACTCATTATTTAATCACACTATTATTAATATTTGTGTAAGTAAACAAACATACATCAGTCTGATTATCTATGTATCATTTATCTGTCTCTCTCTATATATATGTACTCACATTTTTATTTATATATATATATATATATATATATATTGTATAAACATACGTCACAAAATTTATGCTAACACCTTCAAATAAATATTACATGTCCATTTAGTTTTTTGTCTGATAAGTAGACATGTAATAAGCATCAAAACCAAATAACATAAATATAATTATGATCACTTTTTGCGATTATGATGACAGGTTGACTACATTATCCCTAAATTTTAACAATGCATGCATGTTTTTTGTCTCCTTTTCATGACATTTAAGCGTTTGTTTCCTAAATTCTCATTACCGTAATGCAGAACAATCCCCTTTTTTTTTTTTACCATAAAGCAAAAATAAAAGCTTTTCATTCATGAAATGCAAAACAAAATAAAAATGTTTTATTGTCATTACCTTAATGCTGTTTAAAATAACTCAATTTTACATGTTAAATACTACATGGCGGGTATTTGTACTGCGTTTTATGCTGATTTAAATTTTAAAAATGAATAAATGAATTACAGTATTCATACTGTAATACACTAAAAAATGACAGTAATGAGAATTTATTAAGAATCACCCTCTTGTAGAATAATGGGAATTTCCTGGTGCGTTACTGTAATGAGAGTTTGCGAGATGAATGTGAGTAATTGTCAAGAAAGTTATGTCGCAATGCAAAAAAACTTTATGATACTAAAACAAGATAATCAAATGTAATCTCTTATGTTGGTTTGACATTGAGATATATTTGGTGAGATTCACAAAAGGAGAATTGGCCATAAAACAATGAGTCTCTCTGAGTCTCATGGGTCTGGGCTGGGGTGGAAGAAAAGACAATATATAGCTTTAGTAGGAAATATTTTTAATGTTCGTGAACAATACAAAATGTTTTTTCTCTTTATGTTCCTTTTTTCAAGAAGGCCATCAGGTTCTAGAAGAGACAGTCCTCCTGCATAATAATACAGAGCTGTGTGTGTGTGTGTGTGTACGTACCTGTTTTTCTATTCTGGTGGGGACTTAAACCTGAATACACACAGACTCAAGGGGACTCATGTCACGGGGGGGACCTAAATTGAAGTCCCCATGGGTAAACAAGCTAATAAATCACACAGAATGAAGTTTTTTGAAAATCTAAAAATGCAGAAAGTTACCTGTGAGGGGTAGGTTTAGGGGTAGGGTTGGTGTAGGGCAATAGAATATATGGTCTGTACAGTAGAAAAAGCATTACGCCTATGGAGAGTCGCCACACGGATAGCAAACCAGACGTGTGTGTGTGTGTGTGTGTGTGTGTGTGTGGAGGAGGGGGGGATTGTGTTCACATTTGTTTCCGATTTTATTCATGTAAACAGGGGGGCTGTCAGACTCAGTGGGGCCTGTTTAAATTAAGGCCAGGCTGCTCTGCAAACAGCGATTTGCTCGCTGTATGTTACATTACACGTACGGAGAGCAGTGATATATTTGCATAAATGACACAGAAATGCAGATTTTGTCCCAAATTGTGGTGGCCATGAAGAAGTTCACCCAAATATGAACATTTTGTCATTCATTTGCCTGTGGAACGACCAAGCAACACCATATGGCTTGTGCACTATATTCCATGTCTTACGTCATACAGTATTTTTGTGTACAGATCAAAATATTAGTCATTATGTGCTCAAAATCATCCCCTCCGTCACATTTAAAGATGGATTGAACAAGATTTGTTGTCAACGGCATCTGCTTAATGACAAGTAACATGGTACAGACTGCAGAAAACTGTTATTCACATAATATATATCCCACAATTCCACTCTGCACTGTACACATGACTGAACTGCCCTCTGGGGAAGAGAATAGTTATTCTGTTCAGTTGAACACCGCATGCTATATCCAGCGCACAACAAGCCGCTTCATCGGTGTATGAAATGAACCACAGACATGTTTACTATCAATATCATTATGCAGCCGGACTGAGAGAGCAGGAATCTGGTGTAAATACTCCTTTCTGCCAGTTTTCAGAGTTATTTGCTAAGACGGTCAGCATTAGGGCATGCTGGGATGAAGTTTGGAGGATAAGGCTATGTTGCAGCATTCAGCTTCATCTTTCTCTCTCACATCCACATGTAAAGAAAGCTGTCAAAGCCTCTAAACTCACTTTGCTTTCACAATGTGACGTGTTTTTATGTGAAGTGGAACATGTAGAGAGGGACTTGATTTTATTCATTTATCCATTAACCTTAGACACAAAGATAAAAAGTAGTAATTATGACAAAAAGTTAGTTATCATAATCATGAATTTTGTCATAATTTCTCATTTTTATCTCAGAGTTATGGCAACAGTATGATTTATTATATTGATTTAGACTTTTATCTCATACACAGTAAAATGAGATCTTGAGAGATTTAATGTCTTCTTTTATTTCAGTTGATTTCATCTAAGTCTGTGGCTGAAGTCAGTTGTAGTTCTTGTTTCTCTTTTCTTCAGTGATTCTGCTTGTTAACAGCAGCTGTTCATCACTAATGCTCAATCAGCACTTAATTAATCACTTAATTATCTCATTAACTTTAACACTGCTTCAGTGTTGCTTTAACACTCTTGTAGAGTGGGACCATATATGCTCCGAGCAGTGTTAATTTAACACTCGGGAATTTACTGAGTAATGACAGTGTATCATAATTTTAGGCTTTGACGTAATTATTACTTTTAATGTCAGAATTATGACTTACCAAAGCATTTTTAATGTTGCATTCAGTATTCGAGTAGCTATTGTATGAAGGAGTAACTGCTGTTTTTTGTGCAGTAGTTCTACATGCTCGCAAATCCTCTCATTATAATGAGCAAAGCATAGACACAATGTAAATAAGAGATTGAATATGTGTTGTTCTTCCCTCACACACACACACAGATAATGCTGAAGAGGATTTATGCTCCTCAGATTGTAAGCTCGACCTCACAGTGTAATTAATTAATTGTTTGTTGCATATTTGCTTGTTTTTAGTTGTCTAGAGACCTAATTAAATTAGTATTGAAATGTTATTGGAAAAAAGCATGTTTTTTTAATAATAGGTCTATATATATATATATATATATATATTGTATAAACATACGTCACAAAATTTATGCTAACACCTTCAAATAAATATTACATGTCCATTTAGTTTTTTGTCTGATAAGTAGACATGTAATAGGCATCAAAACCAAATAACATAAATATAATTATGATCACTTTTTGCGATTATGATGACAGGTTGACTACATTATCCCTAAATTTTAACAATGCATGCATGTTTTTTGTCTCCTTTTCATGACATTTAAGCGTTTGTTTCCTAAATTCTCATTACCGTAATGCAGAACAATCCCCTTTTTTTTTTTTACCATAAAGCAAAAATAAAAGCTTTTCATTCATGAAATGCAAAACAAAATAAAAATGTTTTATTGTCATTACCTTAATGCTGTTTAAAATAACTCAATTTTACATGTTAAATACTACATGGCGGGTATTTGTACTGCGTTTTATGCTGATTTAAATTTTAAAAATGAATAAATGAATTACAGTATTCATACTGTAATACACTAAAAAATGACAGTAATGAGAATTTATTAAGAATCACCCTCTTGTAGAATAATGGGAATTTCCTGGTGCGTTACTGTAATGAGAGTTTGCGAGATGAATGTGAGTAATTGTCAAGAAAGTTATGTCGCAATGCAAAAAAACTTTATGATACTAAAACAAGATAATCAAATGTAATCTCTTATGTTGGTTTGACATTGAGATATATTTGGTGAGATTCACAAAAGGAGAATTGGCCATAAAACAATGAGTCTCTCTGAGTCTCATGGGTCTGGGCTGGGGTGGAAGAAAAGACAATATATAGCTTTAGTAGGAAATATTTTTAATGTTCGTGAACAATACAAAATGTTTTTTCTCTTTATGTTCCTTTTTTCAAGAAGGCCATCAGGTTCTAGAAGAGACAGTCCTCCTGCATAATAATACAGAGCTGTGTGTGTGTGTGTGTGTACGTACCTGTTTTTCTATTCTGGTGGGGACTTAAACCTGAATACACACAGACTCAAGGGGACTCATGTCACGGGGGGGACCTAAATTGAAGTCCCCATGGGTAAACAAGCTAATAAATCACACAGAATTAAGTTTTTTGAAAATCTAAAAATGCAGAAAGTTACCTGTGAGGGGTAGGTTTAGGGGTAGGGTTGGTGTAGGGCAATAGAATATATGGTCTGTACAGTAGAAAAAGCATTACGCCTATGGAGAGTCGCCACAAGGATAGCAAACCAGACGTGTGTGTGTGTGTGTGTGTGTGTGTGTGTGGATATATATATATATAATTTTTTAACTGTGGCTCTTTTGGAGAAATTAACCAAAAACTGAGAAAAAAAAAAAAGTCAAAAAAGGTTCGCACCCCTGTTTTAGAGGGGGTTTTTTTCTGCATCATGGCTGATTTGTAGATTGTACCCCCAAAGATTGCTATGTATTTTAGTATTTCCCATTTATTTACTGTTATTTTTGACCGTGAAAAACAAGTGTTTAGTGCAGTACTTAAATATTTGAACATATATATATATATATATATCGCAAAAAAACGTGTTATATCTATATATCTATATATATATGCAATCAGCGACTTTAAATGGATAGTTTTATATTTCTCCATCAATTTGAATTTGATTATATCATTTGCAGTGCTTCATGGGTTTATAGTTCTTTCCCTCATTAAAGCCCAGTCTTGTATCTTTGTCTTTTTGTCCGATTTTCAAAAACCTTTTTGCTTCAAATCAAAGTTTGTACTGTTGTGATTCACCTCGTAGCTGGTTGGCTTGATTCAAGGGTTATAGCACTTTAACAAAGACTTTTTATAAATCCCTTTGAGAAAAATTATTAATACTTCCCGAATCAGTGCCTCTGAAAAAGGGGGCAGGCACTAATGCACTCTATTCCAATGAAGTAAAATAAAACATCGAAACATATTTCCCCCCCTAAATGACCGAAGAAGACCAGAGGGTTAAGAGTGTAAAGGTAATATGCAATGTGTTCATCCGCTTCCTTCCCGCCCCAGATCCAGGTCTGTTTCCCGTCATGCTGTCTGCTCATAAGAAACTGCTCCCATGGCTCTATTGAGACCATTTTTACTTTGTCTCTCTCAATACTTTAGTCTCAAAGATCCAGGCGCTACCAAAAACTCCAGACTTGGACTCTTAAAATGCACTTTAACCGGATTTGAAGTGCTGTATCGCTCCACAGAGACGTGCGCGGTCCAAAAGGATTCCAGCTGACCTTGGACTAATGCAGTAAATTCATTACCGTGACCTCTCCGGCCCTGCACACAGGTTGCCAGATAACTACTGCTGAAAGTAAACAAACAAGGGTGTACACGGGGAAAGAGACAATGCTGGCCCGGCCCTCTCTTTTCCTGCAAACACACACACGCACATCCCTGCTCAGTGTGGGAAGACTCCTCTGGAGACGCAGACGGCTCCTTCACTCCCCTCTGGCTCTCTGAACATCTCTGTTTCCTCCCTCTTCCTTGTTCTTTTGTGTAAAGCTACAATGTTGATATTGATGTCCATTTAATCTTTGATGACCTTCATCTTTCTCAAAAACACACTTCAAACTGTGTCACGCACAATAACATCCTGGTGTGTGTATCTGTGTGTTCCCAACTAACTGGGAGGAAGCCGCGTTGCACAAACACTCATTCGCAAATCTGTGTGATTGCACGACAGGGTCCTGAATGAGATGGGGGAGCGTCATCATTCACGGCGCCTCCTGCAGCCTGGGAGTAAGGTTGGGGTGACAGGGTTCAGCTGCACACAATCAGAAAGATGGGCCAATCTGACAGTAATGCATACAAATGAGCATGTGTTAAAAGGTTAGTTCACCCAAAAATGAAAATTAGCCCATAAATTACTCACCCTCAAGTCATCCTAGGTGTATATGACTTTCTTCTTAGAGACGAATCCAGTAGGAGGTATATTAAAAATTGTCTTTCAAGCTGTTTAATGCCACTCAGTGGGTGTTGCATGCGTCAGTCCAAAAGAAGTTAAATAAAAAGCGCCCATCCATTGAAAAAAAGTGTCTCTCACGGCTCCGGGGGGTGAACAAAGGCCTTTTGTAGCGAATCGATGTGTTTTTGTAAGAAAAATTTCCATATTCAAAGCGTAATCACTTTAATGTAGCTTGCGCTCACTGTTGTACCCTGGAAGCAGCTCCGGGCGGATGGCGTATGGAGGTCGGCTTTGCGCACGCTACGCTCAGAAGTGACGAACGCGGAAGCGCAGGGGAGAGATCAAAACAAAACAACGGTCACTTATCAGAAGTACAAAACGAGGATTTGTAAAGAAGAATGTCGGAGGATTTCGATAGAAGCCAAGAGAAGACTGGTTTTCCTTTGCTAAAGTAAGGAAAGTTTTGCTTCCTTTGATCCTGTAAACAAACGTTGGTTTTCACGAGACTCACCGGCGCATGCGCAACGCTGACCACAAACTGTTGGCGCAAGCTACATTAAAGTGATTATTACGTTTTGAATATGGATATTTTTCTTACAAAAACGCATCAATTCGATACAGAAGGCCTTTGTTCACCCCCCGGAGCCGTGTGAGACATTTTTTTAATGGATGGGTGTTTTTATTTAACTTCTTTTGGACTGATCCATGCAACACCCGCTGAGTGACATTAAACAGCTTGAAAGATCAAAGACAATTTTTAAAATAACTCCGACTGGATTCGTCTGAAAGAAGAAAGTCATATACACCTAGGATGACTTGAGGGTGAGTAAATTATGGGCTAATTTTCACTTTTGGGTGAACTAACCCTTTAAGGTTAAATGTGCCTGCTGAGCGGCAAACGATTAACACCCTGTTCTTCACTCCGACATTACACATCTACAATGTATAATCAATGAAGCTTGCAGTGACTGAAATGACCAAACTAAAATAGAAAACCTAGTTCTGGTAAAATCAACAAAGATGTCAGTGGACAAAACCTCAAAACTAAACATGAAATAGTACACTGCCATTATAATTAACAAAGCAGATGAAACAACAAAACTAGTAACAAAGATATCAGTGGTAAAATGCAAAATGTAAGTATATTATAAAGTATAATGACAAAACTAGTACATCCTTATTATCTAAAAATTATAATTACTTATTATCAGCAAATAAAATTTTATATTCAAATGGACCATTATAATCAACAAAGATGTCAGCAGATGAAGTGACAAAACTAGTATGCTTGAGTTAGAACCAGTGTCAACTAAAACTAATAAAAAGTATTAAATATAAACATTTATCAGCAGACAAACTGATAATGAACTGTTATAATCGTCAAACTACTATGCTGACATGCAAACTAATACGCTTAAGTAGAGAACAAGTGTTTTTAACTACAATTTGAAATGTTGTTAATTGAAATAAATCTAAAATATAAATATTAAATAAAAAACATTAAAAACTTTAAAATGTTGCCTTAACCAACTAAAATAAAATAAGTTTAGGTTAAAGTAAAATTACTAAAAATTAAACTGAAATAA